ATTAAGCTGTGGGCTGTTGATGGTGATTCTGTTTCTCCCTTGTGAGGTTGGAGGAGGTCAGAAGATGTGGTCTTCATGCCCTTTTTTGCAGAAGGATTCCTTTTAGCATTTCTTGTAGGTTGATCTGGTTTTTACAAATTCTCTTAATTTTAGTTTATCCAGAATGTCCAAATTTTACCATCATATTTGAGGAACAGTTTTGCTGGATATGTTGGTAATTTTTTCCTTCAAGATTTTGTATATATACTCCCATTGCCTTCTTGTCTGAATGGTTTCTGCTGAGAAATCAGAACTTAGTCTTATTGGTTGCCCTCTGTAGGTAACATTTTGTTTTTCCCAAGCTGCACTCAAGAGTCTTTTTATGTCTTTGGTTTTGGAAAGTTTGATTATGATATGTCTTGACTTTCTCTTGAGGCCTATCCTGTATGGGGTTCACTAGGTTTTTTGGATGGATATCTTTTCATCTTTCATAATATTGGGGAGGTTTTCTGTTAGTAAGTCTTAAACAATTTTGTCAGTGGTTTTTTTTTTTTTTGCTTCCTTCTGTTCTGGGAGCTCTGGTGGCGTAGTGCCTAAGGCATCTGACTGCTAACCAGAAGGCTGGCAGTTCAAATTCACCAGCCACTCCTCAGAAAGAAGACTGGGAAATCTACTTCCATAGAGACACTGCCTCAGAAACCCAAGGAGGGGTCACTATGAGTTGGATTTGACTCAATGGCAGTGAGTTTGGTTTTGGTTCTTATTCTGGAATCCCTATCAAGTGTATGTTATTTCTTTTGATATCATCCCAAATAACTCTTAGGTTTTCTTCATTTCTCTTGATTTTTTTTTTTTCCTGATTTTTCCTCATACAAACTGGTGTCAAGGGATTTGTCTTCTAGCCAGGATTTGCATTCTTCAGCCAATTTGATTCTACTTTTTTTGTCCTTCCAACAAAATAAAAATGTTATCTATCTCTATAATTTTTGTGTTCAACTTCTGGATATCTAATTGTTTTTGTATCATTTCTAATTGTCTATTATTTTGTCATTTTGTTCCTGTATGATTTTCATTAATCCTTCAAGAGTATTAGCAGTCTTTCCTTGCTACTGTTTATAGTTTCCATGAGTTCTTAGAAGATCCTATATGTATCTCTCTTGGATTCCTTCTCAGGTAATTCTATTACCTATTCTTCCACAGGGAGAATCCCTACTTCTTTATTTTGGTCACGTGCTTCCACTATCTTGTTATTTGAATGGAAGTTGTCTGTTGTCTCCAAGACATTTTGAAGTAGTTGTTTTCATTTGTTGTGTTACCCCCCACCCCCCGCCAATATATCTGGATGAGTAGGGTAGATGTGTTCCTTTTGTTGTTAACTTGGCAGCTATCTTTGAGATGCTCTCCAGCTGTCTCTAGATTGGTGGAATAATTGATGAGAATGAAGATTTGGGTCTGTGTTTGATGTGAAGAGGAGTTTTAGTTGGGATGAACAGGTTTTGATCATTGTCTTTTGTTGATTAAGTGGTGTATGGGTTGATAGTGGTGCTTGTACATTGGTTGAGGTGGTTGGTGAAGTAGAAATGGCTGACTATATCCTCCTTCTTGAATTCCTCCTGATCTGTCCACATTGTGTCATTATTGCTGTAGTTATTGCTATGAAGTTTTCTGCCCTTCCCCCATCATCAGTGCCTATGTCTGTATTCAGACAGTCCAGCCTATTCTCTCTCCTCAGTCACTAATCTTCATACATTTTCCTTCTCAATCGGCACTCAATCTAATTCTTTATTTTCTCATTGATGCTCAGAATTCCAGGATCAGTATTTGAATCAGTTTCACTCAGATTTTCAGATTTTGTTGATGAAAGAATTGGTGGATTGTGCTATCAGGACACCGTTTTGTCTTCACCTCTGTGTGTATGCTTCTTGATACATATTAACTCCTAATCTTTTAAACGTACATTAAAACTTAAACCTGTCTGACATATTCCCACTTTCCTGAATAAGGGATGCTTCAGTATCAAAACTCTTCTAGATTAATTTCTTACCTGCACTAAGATCATCTCACCTACTTTGGTCATTTTGTCAGAAGGGACCATTCCCTGGAGAAGGGTATCATGCTTGGTAAAGTGGAGGGTCAATGAAAAAGGATCCTCAACAAGATGGATTGATACAGTGACTGCAACGATGGGCTCAAATATAGCTAGGATTGTGGGGCTGGTGCAGGACCAGGCAGTGTTTTGTTCTGTTGTACATAGGGTCACTATGAGTTGGAGCCAACTCAATGGCACCTAACAACAACAATAACAACTGAAACCATGCCACGATAGGCTTTGGTTTTAAGGACTTGTGGTTAAAGATACAATGCAGGAAGCCTGATGTTGCTGACATGTGCAAGAGGTATCAATCACCATAAAGGGAGCCAGCACAAATTGGTGGAAGTTGCAAGAAAGTAGATTTCTGAACCAATACAAGTAATCCAAGAGTCAGAGATTGGCAAAGCTGGAACGGACTGCTTTGAAAGATGGTGAGTTCCTTGACACTGGAGATGTTTAAGCATAGACTTAACTTTGCTTAAACACTGTAAAGAGACTCAAGTAATGGTGGATAGTTGGGTTGGAGGGGTAGGTTCCCAAATGCTGGTCTGAGGACCTAGAATTGTTCTTTTCTCCATAATAAGATGCAACAAAGACAATATTTTTATGAAGTTAAATTTATTCAATTTAATGGATGATTTTGTTGTCTGAGGTTATATTTTTCCATCTAAATTTTAGGAATTATTAGCAAGGAGAGAAACCCAAAATAGGGTGTATAAGGATAACAGAGTCAAGGAAAAGAAAAGATTGAATACTGGAAAATCTTTTCAGAAAAAGTCTTTAGAAAGATAATCTCTTCCACTTTGTTTCAAAAATAAGCTCTTCAACAATATTTAATTACTTTATATAATATACTTACTTATTACATTATATTATTTACAGTTTACATATTTTTTCCTGAACTGGATATTTATCCTTAGGTCATCAGTGAATACTCACCTCAAAACTGAAACTACTGTAGGATATATTTAATTATTAAGCACCACATAATTATGCTTACCTTTAGCATGTATTAGTATATATTATGTGAAAGCAGGAGAAAAATCATTTAATTATAGAGTGAGATACTTTCTCTAGAGTATTTGAACAATATCTTACGCTTAGTAGTGCCAATGACTCAGATGCTCCTAAAGATGATGGAGTGGGGATGCTAGTTATTTGGGCTTCTGTTATTTAGAAGCTGAGTAAAATAAGAGTTTGTTGTGCTGATCTGACAGATATCATCTGTATATTTGGATGAATAGCTTTCACTCTCCAGCTTAGTTTCTTTATTTTTATGTGGGGATGGAAATATCTGCAGTACTTTTTTCCTGGGGGTGAATGTTTCGGGGTGAATGTTTCTGCAATGCAAGACTAAGTATGTTAAACCAATGAAATATACTGCCCGCAATTCTTTCCTGGTATTTCTTTTAGTACCACCATTCTTTTTAGAAAAATAAGCTCATCAATCATTGAGCTTCTAATATTTGAGAATGCAAGGGAGTCTGCTCAAACAAAAGTATCATACATTAAAAATCACAATAAAAAAACATACTAAATATTTCTGTAAGTGTGCATTTTGAATGTCCTTGTTCACTGTAGGTCACTATACATCTTCCTCTCCCTATCCCAAGTCATTCAATGAACAATTTGCCTGTCTATACCTAAAAGGCTATCGTACTGTTTTTTGTTCTCCCCTTGGCAGAACTACTTGGAAATTTTAAACAATTTAAATATCAACTGACTTATGTTCTTCTTACCCTTTCAGGGAAATGTCAAGCATTCATATTTTCAACACTAATGAACAACAACCAATTGTTTTAATTTCATTATTTTCTCAACTGAAAGAGTGCTTACAGAGCACAGAAATAGCTAAGCTTTCTTTTTATAGATCTTGCTGGTGAGCCTGAAACAAGTTTAGATTGAAAGACAAAAGGGAACTCAGATTTCTATCCTCTGAGTATAATTCTCTTGAATTAATAGGCCCCAAAGAGAAGATTCCAAACACAGGGCTTGCAAGTTCTGTGTAAGGTCATTCAAGTGGTTTGCTTACCTCTCAATAAGGTTGAATTGCATTTGGACCATCAAAAAATTTCTCTATTCTTAAAATTGCTAGAGAAAGTTCTTCTGTCACCTTAAATAGCAACAAATTCCAAGAGAGATGGTTGGCTTTTCTCTCTCGTATCCAAGAACATAGCACACAGCATGCCACTACACAAAACCTGCATTGCAGTCATTTTTAAATTCAATCTAAATAATGTGACTTGCTGAGCATACCTTTCCCCTGATTTGCTAATGTTACAGATTTTAGAAGTGACATTTGCCCCTTTAGCAATGCACTTCTGCTTTAGTTTACTAAATGACACCTTCTCGACTTGATAAACAAAGTGTTTCCCAAAGGGATATAGCTTTCTTCCAAATTGCTAAGGAATAGGTTAGTAATAATAGAGTAAGGCTAATATGTGGTCCCTGTTCCTAGAGTAGAAGGACAGAGTGAGTCAGAGGTAACCCCAGCTCATGTATTTGGAAAGTATATATTCATGAAATGTGGAAAAAACATCACCATGGAGACAAGTGATCTGGTTTTGCAAAGGATATGGGGCCACAGTCAGGGCAGAGTGTGGGCCAAGCCCTTGTTTTCTCGAGTGGACGCTTTGGCACAGCTCCCAATGCTTGTGACTTTCCTAACGCAGAGAAAACACAGCAGGGACCTCTGTTTCCCGAGAGCATCTCCCTGTCACCTGAGCCTTATTTTCTTGAAGGTGTGTAGCCTTCCTTTTCAGAGATTGCTCTTAGAAAGGAACTAAGGGAAACAATCATCTTAACACTGCTATCCAATACTCACTGTACTTCAACTTCCTAATTTAGTCCAATTTTTCCCATTTTACTTACGTGGAAACAGTTTTGCTCGAATCTGCCTTCAGTGAGCTTGAGACATTTGTGTGCTTACCTGTTCAATCTGTACTGATTATGATACTCTCTTTCCTTCACTGCAGTATATTCATTTTGATACTTGAGAAGTTGTTCTCTCATTTTGGAGACCTCTGTGTTGAATGCCTCTGGAAAATCATCAGCTTGCTGCAGGTGAAACTTCTGCTGTTCTATTTGTTCCGTGAAACGTTTGGCATCCTGCAGCAGTTGGACCTCTGACTCTTGTGTGCTGTGTTAATAAAAAGCGATTCCCATAATGAGATGTGTAGTCCTCAGTACCCTTACTAGCTCCTGTGCGGGTATAGTCAAGAGGGCAGGGAGCATGTCCACAGCTGCTCCCTGGCCCTTCCTTTCCTGGGTTCATTTCAATCCAGTGAACATTTTTGTGCCAAGCACTGTGCTCAGTGCAACAAGCAAATATACTCCTGTCCTTGGCCTCAAGTAGTTCACAATCTAGCAGAGATGCAAGGTATATTGACTTAAAGAGTTAGCTAGAATCCCAGGTGACAAGTGCTAACACTGGCGTCTAGATCAAGACAATGGGAGATGATAGAGAAGGAATGAATCTGATGATCTACCCTGAACATGACAACAGCACAACAAGACTTCCAGGGTGCAGTGATAAGGAAAAGAGTGGGTCCCTCTTCCATCTGTCTTCAATAACCTTGACTCTTTCTAATTCTTGAATTCTCCTGACCTGATTGTGTTGTTGTGTTCTTATGTTTTGACATCAAGTTGGATCCGACTCATAGCGACCCCTCCTTGGGTTTCCAAGGCAGTATCACTACAGAAGTAGATTGCCCCATCTTCCTTCCGAGGAGTGGCTGATGGGTTTGAACCACCAGTCTTCTGGTTAGCCATAAAACGCCTTAGGCACTATGCCACCAGAGCTTCTGACCCCACTTAGCAAGTTAAGAAAAGACAGAAATCTTTCTAAAGACATATCACTAGGAAACTGGAAAGAAAGAAAAAAATCCTCTATAAAAGTGTGGACATAAATTACAGATTTTTAATCCAAATTTTAATATCTTGCTAAAGCTGGAGTTGAATTCACGGTAGCAAGCCTTCCTAGATTCCCAATTGCAGTCTATGATCTTGGCTCAATCCAGGGAAAGAGGCCTTTAAACATCAGGCTAGAGGCAGATTCAGATGAACATTGAAATTGGATTTGATGAAATCTTCAGTATTTTCTAAACCTTACTCACCAATATTGCAAACTAAGTCCAATCTTATAGTGGATATGATTCATTTTTTTTTTTTTTTAAACCCAACTACCCTCTGTTAGCTACCTGTCTTGTTCAGAAGCAGAATCCTTACAATTTCCCATTTTGAAGCCAGCACATTCTTCGAGAGCAATCCCCCCCACCACCACCACCAATACACACACAGTGTACCACTCTTCCTATCAAGTTTCCTCACCAAGAAGACCTTCAGTTTTTGGCTTATTTGTGGAGATGCCTAATGAGTCGCTCAAACCTACTTGACTGAAGTTATGAGTTCCATCGACTTTCTCAGGTAAGTTGTTTGCTCAATGGCATCCAGTGAAATATTTATTGGGACATACTGTGTTCCAGAAGCTATGCTAGGTACCAATAGCAGCAACAAACACAACTATAATGACAACATGGATAATTTCCACTAATGAAAGCTGGAGTTATCTCCCACAATTCAATTTCCTTAAATGTTAATATGCCTTTGTATATCCAAAGTTATCCAATCTCCTTATTGTTGGCACTCTTCAACCATAGGATTGTAAGGCATCAGTATGTGGCACGGTGCCTATTTTCTCACAGAAGGGAAGTAGGCAAGGTAGTAGGATCCCAGCCAGAACACAAACAGCACTTTACCTACATGTTTTTGAAATAGAGTGTCAGTATAAGGGAATCTAACTCATAACAAGGTGTCAGTAGAAAACCCATTCAGTTTTAGTTCAGTTTTTCCAGACTTTTTCTGCCTCCTTCTGACCCAGCTGCAACCATGGAGACTCCACTGCTTCATGCCTTTCCCATCCACCAGGAAATAGGAGTAAGAAAGAGTAGTGGCTGTTGGAAATGGCAAGAGATGCAACCAAGGGATCAAGAAGAGGCAAAATGTGGGTGATAAAGAAATTTAATGGTTTTGCAAAGCAACCTGGAAGCAGGAAAACACCATGGCCTTGCTCACTGTTTGCTATCTGCCCTGTAGGGCCCAGGGGGCTGAGCTGTGGGCCATGGAGGAGAAAGTCAAATCAGAGGACTTTGCAAGGTTCTGTTGGATCTACAGCTATCCAGAGGTGAGAAACACTGTCATCTTTGTATCTGCAAAGAGGCTTGGAGGGATTCCTTGAGAACTGCATAGAGTGTTCTCCCAGTTAAGAGTGTAAGGTATGCTGAAAAAGATTACCCCAGACTTTCCATCCAAAGCCTCCAAGTTTCTGAGTCTTCAGAATGAGTACACACTGGCAGGCAGAACCAAACACGGGGAATGGAATCTCAATAAGGAGTGAGTGTAAGGAGTTGACTTGGAGATGGGGAGAAAGAGGAATGAGAAACCAAGGCCAGGGGCTCTGAGGGTTGTTAGGAACCTGGATAGATCCCCGTAAGCATAGAGTGGGGTGTAAGTGAAGTCCACAAAGGGATTCAACTTAGCTGTTCCCCTAGTCATTCACTCTTCCTTTCTACTTCTATTTTCAGAATAGCTAATTGACTCTGGGCAAGACAAGAAGTAGGGGCAAGAGTTGGGGATTTGGGGAGAAGGTGGCTAGAAAATGGCAGAATGGAGGTTTTTATTCATTGCTATGTCTTCTAGCATTTTATGGGCATATCATGAGAAAGGAGGTGGAGGAAAGGAAGAAGACTTGTGAGTGATCAGCAATAGCAGCAGAACTTTCTTTTGTCCCTGCCCCCTCGATTACCACTGGCTCATAGCAGGTGGTCGGGAAACACTGTTAGATTATTCAGGAAGATATTCTTTGGATATGTGTCTAATTGGAACATGGTTGAGTTGAGGCTCCTGGGGGGTAGAAGTAAGAGGTAAAAATAGAAGTCTCAGCAGAGGTAGGCTGGAGTTATCTAACTCTATACCTCTGAGTGGTGAAGAGAGGTGGGGAGAAAAGAATCCTGCAGGACTGTCCCATAGAAGATAATGTTAGTACCCATACAAATACCCTTGGTCCATTCTAGAGGTCATCTGCATTTTCAGAGGACAGTTATCATACTACAACACTGTTGTATCTGCCTGCATGGGTTTATGTGGCCATAGGAGCTTTCGTGGCCTGCTCAAAAGAGCTAATATACCTAGGAGCAATCTTTAGTCAATAAGGGATGGACTGGTGGAACGATATCCCAGTTCAGAAATTCTGAAGTGTGTTCTACACAGTCACCCTGAGGGTCTTCAGTGAGACTGCCCAGTCAAACAGTGTTAACCTGCAGATTAACACATCTTCAGTTGGATTCCTCTCTTCCCTGTCTCACTTTCCACTCCCTCATTGTACTTTCTGGTGTCATTTCTCAAGCTACTTGAACTCACATCCTTGCTTCAGGGTATGCTTTTGGAGAGGATACAAGAAATATAGAAGAATACATCACAAGAAAGTAATGTAAATATGATAAAAGTGTTCCCACATTAGTAAAGGGCATACCTTATCACGGTATCATGCAGCAAGGTATACTTGGCTTTTAACTCTGCCATTCTGGTTGCAGGAAGTTTTCCCACAGCATGTAGCTAGCAAAGTAAACAAAAGATCACTATTAGCCATCACATTTTCTGCATTAATCAGGAGATAAAATGGTTACATGGATAAACCAAACTCACTGCCATCGAGTCATTTCGATTCGATTCATAGTGACCCCCACCTTGGGTTTCTGAGGCGGTTACACAGATATCTTATATAATCTTTTCCCTATGTGCTGCCTCCTTCTATCCACTGTAAATGCTGCCTTTCAGGACCAAGAACTTCTATAGCACATAAATTGAAAAAAAGAAAAAAAAAAAGATGTTCAGAAAAAGAGTTTGACACTGTTACTTTAGCTAGATTGGATAGAGAATCTCCTCTCTCAAAAAGAAAAAGAAAAGACCAAATTCTGAAGAATGGATTTCTACCTTTTTTTTTAAAAAAAAAAAAATCAAAATCTGAATGTTGATAGTCATCAAAAAGTAACTATCAAATAGCAGGTTAATCTCTGGTTAGAAACTTCAGACTTGTTCTAGTAGAGGAAAATGCTTCACTCATTAACAGAATGAAGCATGGAAAAAATGGTTACATTTTTATACTACATGACACAAATGAATATAAAAACCAAATCTGTCATGTTTTAAAAATGCACTAAGAAATTAACATAAAGTCCAATTTTAAATTGTCCAAGAGTATACACAATGAAATGTTAGATAAAATGTCTTAAGTTCACAAATAGGACTTCACAATAGATACTTGTGTTTCTGAATTGCCTTGTTGATAATTGTGACTGGAAGGAAATATTTACTCTAGAGATAAAGATTTAACAAGAGTTCATTATTCATGTGTGACATATATAATATGGAAAAAATTTCTAAATTTGAAATTCTAGGACATTCCAAGGAAAGTAAAAGCCCAGTAAGACCTTTTACCAAGTGAACTTCTCTGGAAGGGGATCAGCATGAGGAAACAATTAGGTGTTTGTGTGGGTGTCTGTGAGCAACCGATTGTATTCCCTGTGATAGGCAGCGTAACTACTTCGCATGATGTCCATGAACCTTAGAACATGTGAATGTATTACTTTACATGGCAAAAGGGACTTGGCAGTAATGATTAAACTAACCTGGATTTTCCACATGTCCTAACCATGTGAGTCCTTAAAAGCAGAGACTCTTTGCCGGTTAGGTTAGAGAGAGGAGATGGAAGAAGAAGGAGGAGAGATGTGAAGTATGAGAAAGACTCAACCTTTGACCCACCATTGCTGACTTTGAATATGAAGGGGGCCATGAGCCAAGGAATACGAGAAGCTTCTAGAAGTTGGAAAAAGTAAAGAAATGGATTCTTCCCCAGAATTTCTAGAATATAATGCAGCCCTGTCTACACCTTGATTTTAGCCTAATGAGACTCTGTTGGACTTCTGATCTACAGAAGTGTAAGATAATAAATTCATGTTTACTACTACCACTACTACCATACCATATCATTGGTATACAATTGGTATGGTAGTGGTTTTCCACCAATAATATGGTATAGTAGTAGTTTTCTACAACTGCCATAACAAATTATCACAAATTTAGCAGCACAGATAGATTTTCATCTATTTCAGCAGGTGGTGTATGATCAAGAACCAATGGTATTCAAGGAAGAAGGTGAAGCTGCAGTGAAGGAACTGGCAAAAAATAAGGTTCCAGGAATTGATGGAGTACCTACTTAAATGTTTCAACAAATCTGTCACACTGGAGGCACTTACTTGCCTATGCCAAGAAACTTGGAAGATAGCTACCTGGCTAATTGACTGGAAGAGATCCATATTTGTGCCCCTTCCAAAGAAAGATATCCATATTTATACCCTTTCCAGAGAAAGGTGATCCAACAAATGTGGACATTTTTGAGCAATTCATTAATATCACATATGCAAGTAAAATCTTACTGAAGATAATTAAAAAATGGTTGCAGCAGTATATTGACAGGGGACTTCCAGAAATGCAAGTGGATTCAGAAGAAGATGTGGAATGAGGGATATCATTGCTGATGTCAGGTGGATTTTTGTGGAAAGCGAAGAATACCAGAACGATATTTATTTATGTTTTATTGACTATGCAAAAGCATTCAACTGTGTGAATCATAACAAATTATGGATAACGTTGAGAAGAATGGGAATTCCAGAATACTTTATTGTGCTCAAGAGGAACCTGTACATAGACCAGGTGGCTGTCATTCGAACAGAACAAGGGGATACTGCATGGCTTAAAATCAGGAAGGGAGCACATCAGGGTTGTATCCTTTCACCATACTTATTCAATCTATATGTTGAGTAAATAATCCGAGAAACTGGACTAGAAGAAGAAGAACATGGCATCACGATTGGAGGAAGAGGCATCAACAACCTGTGATATGCAGATGACACAACCTTGCTTTCTGGAAGTAAAGATGACTTGAAGCACTTACTGATGAAGATTAAAGACTACAGTCTGCATTATGGATTACACCTCAACATAAAGGAAGCTAAAATCCTCACAAATGGCCAATAAGCAGCATCATAATAAACGCAGAAAAGATTGAACTTGTTAAAGATTTCATATTACTTGGATCCACACTCAACACCAGTGGAAGCTGCAGTCAAGAAATCAGATATCATATTGCACTGGGCAAATCTGCCAAAGACCTGTTTTGAAGAGTAAGGTGCACCTAACTCAAGCCATGGTATTTTCAATCAGCTAATATGCATGTGAAAGGTGGACAATGAATAAGGAAGACTGGAGAAGAGTTGATGCTTTTGAGTTGTGGTTTTGGTGAAGAATACTGAAAGTATCATGGATTGCCAGAAGCACCAACAAATCTGTCCTGGAAGAAGTGCAGCCAGAATGCTGCTTAGAAGCAAGAATGGCCAGACTTCGTCTCACCTACTTTGGTCATGTTGTCAGAAGGGACCATTTCCTGGAGAAGGATGTCATGTTTGGTGAAGTGGAGCATCATCAAAAAGGGGAAAGACCCTCAATGAGATGGACTGACACAGTGGCTCCAATGGCGGGCTCAGACAGCAAGGATTGTGAGGCTGGAGCATGACCAGGCAGTTTTTGTTCTGTTGTACATAGAGTCACTATGAGTTGGAGCCAGCTCAACAGCACAACAACATACCATGTCATGTATGGTTCCCAAAGCATATTATGTCTTTGCATGTTCTATTTTCCTATCTGCAGTTTTTTTTTTTTTTTCTCTACTTTATTCACTTAGAAGACTTCTATTCTTCTTTTAAAAATATCTCAGGGGTCACCACCTGTGGATTTTTTAAATGACACTTCGCTAGGCAGTGTACTGCCATCTTTGTACTGCTTCTGTACTTTTAGATGTATCTGTTGTTGCACACATCATACATTGTTATCAATATATGTTTAAATATGTCTTCTCCATTAGGCTGTGTGTTCTTTGACTATAAGAATCCTGCTGTATTCACCAAACCTACCAGCCACTTTGCAGAAGACAGATAGGGTTGTCTGTTTCTGTAAAGATTTACAGCCTTGGAAACCAAATGGGGTTGCTATAAGTTGGAATTAACTTGATGGCAGTGAGTTTGGTCTTGGTTTTTGATTTTCATTTTTGTGCCATAGCATATTCATCATTGTGCCACAGCATGTAGCTTGATTATGTTGTAACTTCTCAATTTTTATTGTTAGGTGCCATCAAGTTGTCTCTGACTCATAGCGACCCTATGCACAGCAGAACGAAATGCTGCCTGGTCCTATGTCAGCCTCATGATCCTTGCTATACCTGAGTCCATCGTTGCAGCCACTGTGTCAATCCATCTTGTTGAGGGCCTTCCCTTTCTTCATTGACTCTCCACTTTACCAAGCATGATAACCTTCTCCAGGGAATGGGTCCTTCTGACAACATGACCAAAGTAGGTAAGACAAAGTCTGGCCATTCTCCCTTCAAAGAAGCATTCCAGCTGCGTTTCTTCCAGGACAGATTTGTTAGTCATTTTAGCAGACCATGGTACTATTAGCATTCTTCTCCAACACCACAACTCAAAATCATCAACTCTCTTTGGTTTTCCTTATATTTACTGTCCAGCTCTCATTCATAAGAGGCAACTGAAAATATGATAGCTTGGGTTAAGTGCACCTTAGTCTTCAAGGAGACATTTTTGCTTTTCATTACTTGACAGAAGTCTTTTGCAGCAGGTTTGCCCAATGCAATATGTCATCTGATGTCTTGACTGCTGCTTTCATTGGTGTTGATTGTAGAACTAAGTAATATGAAGTCCTTGACAACTTCATCTTTTCTCCATCTATTGTGAAGCTGTTTATTGGACCAGTTGTGAGGATTTTTGTTTTCTTTATATTGAGGTACAATGCATAATATAGACTGTAGTCTTCAATCGCAATCAGTAACTGCTTCAAGTCACCCTCACTTTCAGCAAGCAAAGTTGTGTCATCTGCATATCACAGGTTGTTAATGAGCTTTTCTCCAATCATGATGCCATGTTCTTCTTCATCTAGTCCAGTTTCTCAGATTGTTTAGCATACAGATTGAATAAGTATGGTGAAAGGATACAACCCTGACACACTCTCTTCCTGTGATAGTTGGAGCTGTGTGTCAACTTGGCTGGACCCCAGTTCTGTGTGGTTGTTCCCATGATGGGATTGGATGACTGTGTTCTGAGTGGCCAATCTATTTAAGGGAAGTTTCCATAGGGGTGTGGTCTGCTTCCAGGATATCCAAGGACATCTTGGGAAGAGAGACATTCTTCTGTGGATTGGGATTCTGTTGTGCTGCCTACAACTGTCCATGAGTGAGCAGTCCACAGTTTGGCCTGGAGATCTTGGATTCGTCATTCGTTGGAGTCAACGGCCAGTGTACTGCCTGCCAGCCTTGAGCTCCTCAGCCCCTGCAGTTGCGGAAGCCAGGAAAAGCTTCCAGCCTGATGTTTGCTCCAGGGACTTTGGACTTTCTGGCTTCTATACGTTTGTGAGCCATTTTCCTAAGATTAATTTCTCTCTCTCTCTTTTTATACATATATATAAGCTTTGCTGGTTTTTGTTTCTCTAGA